GCCGGCCCAGCGCAGGGCACGAGCAGGAAGCCAGGAGTCCGCGCAGCAGCCGACCGGCCTTGGCCTGAGCTGCAGGCAGCCTGACCTTGTGAACTTGCTTTTTAATATTTGGGCGTGGGGACGCCGTAAAAATTCATGTCCAGCTTAGTGCCCCACACCAAGACGTCCTCTGCGCTGGCCTCAGCTCACCCCGGCTGGGGGCGAGGATCCCGGCGAGCAGCCCCCCTCTCGTGCATGTCCTCCGTGGGCCGGAGCACCCTCACCCGTGGTCTGGGCCCAGGCTGCGAGGCGCGGCCCACGCGGGGGAGGGGAGGGAGGGAAAGTGTCTCGCCCGCAGATAGCACGGATGTTTGTAAGGCATCCAAAATAAGCAGCCGCCAGCACCAATAAATAAGCCCATTAACCGGCGAAGTTCGAGTTTATGATCCCCCATGCTTTTTTCAAAGTTGCTGCAGGGGCGGGAATCCTTGTTGCGGGTAGAAGAAAGGCAAATCCGGCCCGGGAGCCGGGGCCCTAAGCTGAGAGGCAGAGAGGGACCTTTTCGCTTCCCCTGGAACTCAGAGTCGCCCAGACTGCATGTCCCTGGCTCCTGGAGAGACGTGAGGGCAGCAGGCCCTTGACCCCAATCAGTTTTTTTTTGTGTGTGTGTGTGTGCCTTCCCCAAGTCCCAACTATGTCCGTCTTCCTCTCCTCGCCAGGCCTTGGGCAAGGAGGGGGCTGCAGTGAGACACAGCTATGCTGCCCACCCCCTACCAAGTAAGCACCCCGGACCCCAGCCTGGGGGGCTACAGGAGATGCTTGTATGTCTTGGGGCACAACTCAAAGGAAAAAATAAGGCATTAAGTTGAAGGTATTCAGGCCTGTCCTCCCAGGCCCTTCGTTCTGCAAGCACCTGGCAGCTTTGTGCTAAAACAGGTGTTTGGAAAGAAGTGGATGAAGATGTGAATTGGGAGGGTGGGTGTAGATTGGGGGCCCACGGGATTTTGCACGTTCCCTTTGGAGGAACTGCTCTTCCTGGGCAAGCAAGCTAACGGGGAGCGGGGAGCACACCTCTCTGTGTGTGACTTAGGGCACCCCTCTTGTGGCAGAGGCGGCCCAAATTCGCCCCGGTAGTCAGCCCGCATTGCCTCAATTGAACCTTCTCCTCTTTATTCCCTTAAAATGCCAGGCAACACCAAAGGCGAAAACGCCGCCAACTGGCTCACGGCAAAGAGCGGCCGGAAGAAGCGCTGCCCCTACACCAAGCACCAGACGCTGGAGCTGGAGAAGGAGTTTCTGTTCAACATGTACCTTACTCGAGAGCGGCGCCTCGAGATCAGCCGCAGCGTCCACCTCACGGACAGACAAGTTAAAATCTGGTTTCAGAACCGCAGGATGAAACTGAAGAAAATGAACCGAGAAAACCGGATCCGGGAGCTGACAGCCAACTTTAATTTTTCCTGATGAAGCTCCAGGCAATGCCGTTTCGTTTTGTTTGTCCTCCCCCCTGCTTCCAGAGAGCCATTCTCCTCCCTCTGTCTTCGCCTCTTCCCAGGAACTCGCACCTGTGCGGGCCCCCGTTCCTCCCTCCCACACTCGCCATTTCGCTGGCCATTACATCAGTGCAGGGCTGGTCTGTTCTGACGTTTTGTTTCTTTGTCTGTTTGCTAGGTGCTGGTTTTTTGTTGTTGTGTTCTGGGGGAAAAGCCATATCGCTCTAAAATCCTATGTAGATAAAGATTGTCCTAAGTGTCAAGTGCGAACTGGGATGGTTTGTCGTCTGGGTGACTCCACTGCTCAAAATGGCCCCTGTGCTCCGGTGGAGCTGGTTTCCTGCGGGGGGCCGGGCAAACACAGCCGGAAGGCCAGGTCCCCTTGTAGGCGCTGAGGTGTCTGGCCTGAGGTCAGTGGTGCAAGGAGCCCCCAGCAGGCCCCCAGGCCTGAAGTGTGGGGCTGTGTTTAATCAGGGGATACAGGCCCTGGGTTTCTTTTCTCTGTCTTCCTTTCTTCCTTGGCAAAGAGAAGGGCCGATGGGCATGGGCATACAGGTTACAAAAGGGCTTGACTTTGGCTGATTGGAACATGGAGGGAGTCAGGAAGATGAAATTTTCCTTCCTCTGTAAGATATCCCAGCTTTAAAAGAAAGAAAGAAAAAGAAGAAGGGGGAAAAAAAAAGACCAGGATCAGGAAACTCCTCTTCCAGTTTGTGTAAGGTCTTGCATTGTGGGACTAAATTATTTCCCTTTCCTCTGAATTTCCATATCCTCTGGCTATAGATAAATAATCTGATGTAGTTCTGTTTATACATGTGGATTTAGTGGATTTTTGTCATAAAGTAATCGTTACCACTGGTAACACACGACAAGCACACCACAACTCTCCCTATCTTGTGGAGGTTTGTCCCCCCCCCCTTTTTTATTTCTTCCTTTTTTTTTTCTTTCCAAAATTAATGGAAGCCGAGGAGGGCTGGGGCAAGCGGAATAGACTAGAGAAGGGAGACATTGTTTGGTTTCCTTTATACTGTGAAGTTACATGCATAAAAGGGTCAAACCTGTAGGTGCAGAAAAAGAAAAAAAAACTATAAATGCAAATCTGTATAAATGTCTATTATTATGAAAAATTGCCAATCTTGTTTTATGCAAATGCATTCTATCGTTATTATAAATGTTAGTTCTAGCTCTATTTACTTCTAATCTTAAATCAGAATAAATTAATATTGTAATGCTGCTGTGCGTGGAAAAAAAAGATGATGTTTATGTTCTTATAGAAGAATAAAAGCTGTGGAATGAAGCTTTTTAATTTTACCTCTTTTTTTGACTTCTTATCTTCACCTTCCACTTTATCCCGTCCACCACTTTTACAACAGGAGGACTAGCCCGCGCCCCCTGCAATTACTTTAGGCATCTATTTAAATATTACCTAGACAGTCGTAATTTGTCTGGGCCCTATAGCCCTGGTGCCGTAAGGTTTGTCGGCTTTTGTTCAGTTTTATGACTTGCTAGTATATCTGGATTGTGGCTGTCTTGGACCGGTGGTTTCAGTTGAGAGAGGAGCTTCATAGACAGAGGAAGCCAAACAGGATTTCTTTCGGGAGTCCCAGGGAGGCTCGCACAGGCTGGTTATTTTGTGGGTCCCCTGGTCCTAGATGACCCCCAGTCTAGGAATCCCGGGAGCAGGCTGGGCCCACAGCGCCTCACTAGCGTCCGAGGCAGCGC